GTGTGTGAGAGATACACCAACCAGCATACAGACTGCAGGACGTAGTCTTGAAAGGTTTCCTGTCCCTCTCATGACACCACTTTGCTGAGTTAAATGTGTCCGCTGCTTGAAGTTAATACAGACTTAAACATCCTGCTTTGTTATCTAACGGCCAAACTCACCAGTCAAAGCTAACACCCTCATGGTCGGTGACGGTCGTTTCCCGTCTGATATCTGCTCATCAATAATGTTTATTTGATTGGGAATCGAGATGCACCAAAGCTAGTTGAGCTGTTCCCCTGACAGTTCAACTAACACAGAGAACAACCTGTCCATCAGTCAAGTCAGGTATTCCTGTTGGCAGATGTGACAGGAAGTCAGCTTTGCTTTGATTTCTTTAGTTTCAGCAGCGGGTCTACTGATGCTCAACAGTTGTTAGCTTGTGCTGCAGCAGACATGTTCTTACTGTGGTTGTTTTGTAACAATTCACCTTATTTCACACCCGAAGGGGAAAAGTACATCCACTGCAATCAGACTGCCGAATATGTTTGAAAGCTCTCCCTCATCGCTCTATAATGGCAGTAAAAATCCTATATAACTAACAGAGACGCTGTGTTTTTGCACATACCACCATATATTAATGTAAAACATGCCTCACCTGGTCCTCACACAGCGAACAAGAAGCAGTGAGGCTCCCACTTATACTCCAACACAGTAAACAAGCCGAACATTCACACATCTGACCCCAAACCCAGAGTCCCATCAGTCGAAAAGTTCCGTAATTTAATAGTCTGATGATAAATACATCCACAAGGCCGCAAATATTATTATTAACAGGTGGAGGTGCAGTGGGTTTGAGCCCACTAAACGCAGCCTGCTCCCCCTGTCTGCGCTCTCCATACTCTCCGTCACGTTACAACAACTTCCTCTGCTTTTACAACAGATAAGGTGGTGGTGGGCAGCTACATGGGGATGCTACGGATATTCTCCCCACATGCCAACACCAAGACCAGCGAGGGAGGTCCTGCCGAGGCCCTGCTCCTCGAAGTCCAGCTTCAGAACGCCATCATCCAGGTGGAAGTGGGCAAGTTTGTCTCGTAAGTAGAGCTCACAAACCCGGGTCACCAAAGGGATCGGGTGCTTCTGTCTTTGCTCTCAATCAACCCTGCTCTGAACACATGGGAGGTTTTAGTTCACACTGTAAATTAAATTCATGGTGTGTAAATTCCAGATGTTGAATTAGAACAATGAAAGCATTTAGTTGTGATTTGTAGTGAATGTTTTGGAATGGCTCTATGCCAATGGATGTGTTGGTGTTTAGACACTAACTGGTTTCAGTGTTGACACGGTGTCACCACAGATCTGTGCTCTAACACCAGGACCATTGATGGTGCGACTAATGTCCTCCTCAAAGAAACCTAAACCACCGTCTCACGATGCAGAGCTCCACCTTATTGTTAAATAACATGTTACCGTCCTCTGAAGCAGGACAAATGATCATATCAATATATATACTATATACTAACTGCTGCTGTAAACTAAATATTATATTGGAATCTATGGTTGTTCATTTTGAACCCGTGTTATCTCCCAACCAATTAGGTTTCTTCTGAAGGTAACATTGTGTACCGACTGAATTGAGGTTTACACAGAAGTGGTGCATTAAGACACACACACACACACACACACAGACATAATAACGTGTGGGAAACACTTCGATGAGGCCACTACGTGGACTCAGTGGAGACGTGAAGTCATGTGACCGTGGTGGAGTTCCTCTATAACGTTTTTTTTTAAAGCTATTATGAAAATGTTTCAGTTTTGTATTGTTGACCATCGGCTGCACTGTTGTCCATGATGATTCTGACTGTTGTGTCATCTCTTCAGGTGTTCGGACCTTCTTCATCTGGCTGTTCTTCACCCCAGGAAGTGTTCCATCTTCTCTGTTTCAGGTAGCACGCACACAAACATTGTGATGGACCCTGTGATGGTTCTCATCAGTCGTGTTCAGTGAGACCAACATGCATACCGACGCGTTTGATCTTTGTTTCTCATCTGTGTTTGCAGGCACTGCAGGCAACGTGGAGCACGGTGACCAGTACCAGCTGAAGCTGGTTTACGAGCACAATCTGAAGAGGACCGTCTGCAACATGACCTACGGCCCCTTTGGAGGCGTCACGGGTAGGACTCGACATTCAACGCTTCTTTAACGAGAGGGAAACACATTTCTGTTTATTCATTTGCTTACGGGACAGTGCACATTAATCAACATTTCAGTTTCCACCTCAATGTACATGATTACATCTGTCGTCCCTGGGCAGGTCTTTACTATAATGGTGGCCTAATATTATGAGTACAATTCAACAGCAAACACTACAGTACAACACAATAGAATACATGAATACATGAGACATTGTAGGTTCAGTTTAGGGCGAGGGTTGGTGTTCAACATTTAGTTGAGATGTTTAAGATTTGGGGCAAGAGAATTCATCATGTCAGCGTCCTCACAAGTGTACAAGTACAAATGTGTGTACTTGTGTGAACATCTGTGCATGTGCCGTGGCAAACGTGGTAATTGGTATAAACTATAAAAAAGTCTCTAAGAGGAGCGAAGGATGGAAAGAGAGAAGGAGGGAGAGAGGGAGGGAGAGAGAGAGAGAAGGAGGGAGGGAGAGAGAGAAGGAGGGAGGGAGAGAGAGAAGGAGGGAGGGAGAGAGAGAAGGAGGGAGAGAGAGAGGGGGAGAGGGAGAGAGAGAGACAGACAGACAGACAGACAGACAGACAGAGGGGTCATATAGCTTCACTCTCTACAGTCCAGTTGGGCTTTTGGAAAAACCAAGTAGGGGAAAGCCCTTCAGTAGTCTGCATCCAAGAAAAACACACACACACACACACACACGGGGAACCCCCTTTAAAGTAGAGAAAATGGCATTTCCAAATAAAGGCTGTATTGTCGAGGTGTGTGTGTGTGTGTGTGTGTGTGTGTGTGTGTGCGCGCGCAAAGAGAAATTGCCAGACTCTGCGGCCTGGCATGATGGACCCTCCATTCACTCAGTGTTTACAGAGTGTGCGTGTGAGTGTGATAGAAAGAACAGCGTGCTTGTTAGGACCATTACCTCGTCCTGTGGTGGATCCACGTGTGTAACCTGCGTCTTGTGTGTTTCCACGTTCTGTTTTCTGGTAGTACGACAAGTTTATGAAGATGTCATGAGACGTCTCTGTCTGTCTGTCTCTCTCTCTCTGTCTGTCTCTCTCTCCAACAACTTGTATTTGTTTCTGTTTTTACGGTGTAAAGTGTCTTTGAGTACCTTTTAAAGCGCTATACAAATAAAATGTATCATTATTATAGAGACACACACGTGTGTAGTATAGAGTAAGTGAAGAACACACACTCTCCTCTCCTCTCACTGAGCTCGTTCCCTCCTCCTGCTCTCCCTGCTGTCACCACTAGATGGCGGTGCAGGCCCTTGTATTCTGCCATTCCCACAGCTTAATGAATGGGATCCTGTATTGCTTCTTGCAGGGAAATTCCCCGATTTTATTTATTTAGTTTTCTTGAAAGGCCTCTCCAGACGGAGGTCAGAGTTGAGCTACACAGCAGCACTACCTGGATGTGGTCTTCCTCAAGGACACTGCAGCAGTGTGGGAATGTTTGAATCACTTCACAACTCTTCAGATAGTGTTGTCTTCCTCTTTGCATTAGATAACCACACCACAGTCGGAGTAACAAGATACATAATTGACAGAGTAGAAATAAGGTATAAATGCCCTTCTGGTGCTGATTGCAGAACCTCCTGATGGTTTAACTCAAACCCAAACAGGTAAATCAATAATATCTTATACTATATATCAAGACAAGGCTGTAAAAATAACTTGTTATTTCTAGGAATACTCTTGCGACCCCTTCGATTCATCTCACTTATAATATGTCCTGCTTCCTCTCCTCATGTTAAACGATCTTTGTTACGAATGTACATTTTATTTGACATCTTCAGACACAGAAGAGGGTGCTTCTCTCCTCTCCTCACCGTGTCTCACCGTGTCTCACCGTGTCTCACCGTGTCTCACCGTGTCTCACCGTGTCTCACCGTGTCTCACCGTGTCTCACCTTGTCTCACCGTGTCTCACCGTGTCTCACCGTGTCTCACCGTGTCTCACCGTGTCTCACCGTGTACATGAGAACGAGCCAATCTCACGGTCCGTCTGCTGCAGTGCGCTCACACTCCTAATGATTAGCACACACATGCAGAAGTGTGTGTGTGTATTCAGTGTGTGTATTCAGTAGGCTCTGAGTGTGTGTCTGGATTTGGGAAAGCCTTGAGTGTGTGTGTGTGTGTGTGTGTGTGTGTGTGTGTGTGTGTGTGTGTGTGTGTGTGTGTGTGTGTGTG